GATATGGAAGGTCTAATAATATCGTTATCTAATAATTTATTTACTTGCTTTGTAATTTCTTCTTGCATCTTTTTTGGATGCCTAAATCCTCTTACATAAATAGGATTTTCATCTCGCGTTCTAATTTCATGTTTAATGCCAGAAGTAAAAGTTAACTTATTTTTATCATCATAAAAAATATCTTTGTATCTTTTGCATAATTTTAAAATTTTATCTTTTTCTTCTAAATTTAAATGACTAGTTCTAATAACAGAAGGATTAAAGTTTGTTGGGCCATTTGAAACTTCATAATTATTTAATTTTTCTACATGGATGGGTTCAATTTGAATATGATTACAGAGAGAAATATTATCTATGTAATTGTCTTTCGCAATGTGAATGGACTCCGGTATAATTACGTGATTAATTTTTGTTTCAGGGAATAGAATTTCACCTTCCGCAATGTCTACGGGAATTTTATTATAAAGCGTATGAAATGGAATTATGACACCGACACTCTCAAGGGTCAACGTTTTTGTCTGATAATTTATAACAGCTTGTAAATTTTCTAAATCACGATTGCCGAGTAAAATATGAAATTCGCGATTCCACTCAGCAATTCGCGCATCAAAAATATAATTTACGTTCATACATTTGAGTACAGGAGTTTTTATATTTTGAAAATATTTACGAGTCACATTCATTGAAGTTAATGTAAAGGGTTTTTTATAAATATGAGATGGATTAAAATATTTTAAAGCTTGAGGGGAAATAATTGTATCAGAACCTCCTGAATCGATTAAAACTTTCAGACCAGTTTTAGGCATAATAAAGTATGGTAATCGGGGATTGTTATTAATATTATTTAAATTTATAGAAGAGGTGGGTCGTCTTTGAAAAGGCCGTATTGAAAATCCTGAGAATGTTCATAACTATCTGATTCGGCGTTTTGTGTGAAATTTTCGGGATTTTCGTCAATATTAGTATCTATGTTAAAATTGTGAGTTCTTCTTGTAGAAACAGTCATGGGTTGATTGCTTGAGATTGTTTGTACACCACTCATAGGAGAAGCATAATTTTGATTTGGAATATTTCGTCTATTATACATGTTTTTTGGGAGAGGTTTTCTGAAATTTGGATTATTGCCGAAATTATTGTGTTGAGAATAATTTCTAGGAGGGCTGGCTTGATTAGCCTGTGGAGGATTTCTTTCTGGGAAGTTATAATTAGATTGTTGCGGAAAATTGAATGTGGGCTCTTGTATATTACGAGGGGGGTACATGAAGTTATTTTGAAAATTGGGCGGATTATTGGTTCTAGTATTAAATCTATTTGAATGATTTTGATTTGGAATATTTGGTTTTTGTTTGAATGTATTAGGTCGCTTATTTTGTTGACCTTTTAGGAAATTCATATACTGTTGTTGACTTTTGTGGTTATCATAAGAGATGCATTTTTGGAGGGCTTCTTCGAGAGAGTTAATTTGAAAATGAGACAGATATTCACAATAGGGGTCATTTATGCCGGTACAAAATGTTTTAAGAGCGATATTCTTAAAATAAGGGGTTTTAAAGGCAACTGTGGCAGGATTGTCATTAAGAGAGATATGCTGTAGAAGATCATTTAAGTTATTGGAAACCCTTTGGTGATATTGGTCATAGTTTTCGTTATGTTTTTGTACCGTAGTAGATAATTGATTCACTAAAATTTCTTCGGAACGTCTATCGCCATATTTAGCGAGTAAAGCAGGCCGAATTTCAGTCCAAATAGTTTTATTGGAATAATTTAAAAAATCTCTAGGTTCGCCCTTGATACGAGAAGCGATATTGGCATTTAAAACAAATTCTTGTGGCTGGGTAATATCTTGTGTACCCAAAAATACAATTAAATTATCAACAGATTTAATAAATGTGGAGAGATTATCTCCAGTAGAAAATTCAGGCAAAGTAGCGCATAGGCTAGAAATATCAGCGTTTGACATAGGCATTTTTGATTTATTTAAAGATTTTTTAGAATTACGAGTATTATATTTAGAACTAGAACTAGTAATATCTAAGGTAAGATTTTCAAATAAAACTTCTAAATTATTTCTAGAAATATCGTTCAAAATGCTCATAAAGGAAAAAAGGAAAATTGACTTACAGGAAGACGATCAGTAATGATGTTTTCTGCATGCTCTTCCTTCTGATCCCAGGTTCAATGGATTCTCGTCGAACAACTGAAGTTGACCAAGAAACGGGTGGTTTCTGTACGATGAATCCTGTTCGCAGCGCCAGAAATGTTGGGAGCACTTAAACTTGTCTTTTAAAAAAGGTTTTATTTGAGAAATCACAAATTTACAAACTATGGAACTTTTGTTGTACAATGAAATTACAAATTAAAAAGAACGTTAGAAAATGTTTGTTGCACCTATTTATTGGTTCGGTTATGCTGCGTCGGCTTCCGGGTCATCGGTTTACTTGTGTTGCTGAGGATTACATTTCTATATACATCGGTAGCACCATATTTCAAATGCCTCTAATCGTTTTATGGCATCTTCTGTAAGGCTCCAGCTTTCTACTCCGTAAGGTAGCTTCTACTCTAGAGGAGGACACTAAAGACGTAACATCTAAGAATACTTATGCGTATATTGATACTTAAAGATAAGTTGCAGATAATCTTCCTAAGGCTGTAAAAGAGCTTCTGGCTTTTTCAATTCGAGTTTTTACTTCGTAGCTATGATCCCAAGTATCCTTAATATTGCAGCCAAAATAGCATATTTTTTCCACTCTTTCTAACGGTGTGTCGCCTATTGTAATTTGGGCGTTTATGTTAGTGTTCTTAATAATGACCATTATTTTTGTCTTCTTGCAATTTAGCTTTAGGCCGTATTTGTTACATGTTTCTACAACGTTATCCGTCATTATTTGGAGCCCCTACGCACTATCTGCCAGCAACACTGTATCGTCTGCATATCTAATATTGTTTATAAGTTGGCCACTTACAGCAATCCCATTTTCTGATTCGTCCAAGGCCTCTCTAAAGATGCTTTTAAAGTATATGTTAAATAATACCGGTGACAATATGCAATCTAACTCTTTTTTTGACTGTGAAAATCTCGTACAGTTCATTTTCTATTCGCACTGTTGCTTTTTGTTGGAAATAAAAGTTTGAGATTAGTTTTATATCCTTACCATCGAGTCCTGATGTTTTAGAATATCGATTAGTTTCCCATGTGGGACTTTATCAAATGCCTTCTCGAAATCAATGAATCATGCATACATATCGCAGTTGACATATCTGGTTATTAGAACTGGCTGGTATTAGAACTTAAAAACTAAAAAGTGCTTCTCTCGTCTTCACATTTTCTAGCGTTGACTTATTTAGAAAGTGAAATGAATATTGATAGTAGCCAGTCTTTTGGTAAGTAATCAGTCTCGTAGATGTTGTTGAATAGCTTCGTAAGAGCTGTGATTTGGTGTGCCTCTAATAGTTTTAAAATTTCACCATGCACCTCATGACCTCATCAGGTCCTAGTGATTTCCTATCTTAAATCCGCTTAATGGCCATAATTACTTCTTCGTTTGTTGTTTCTGGACGTAGCGATTGTTTATTTCCGTCATATTTCGTGGTGCATCTTCGAATAATTATTTCATATATTCTTTTCATCTTCGTAATTTATCTTCAACGGTAGACAAAATCTGGCCTTCAATGTCTACAACTATGCCTGTATTGCGTTGTTGTCTAGTGTTATGTACCTCTTTAATTTTTTGTGTATATGGAAATCGTCATGTTTGCGTTGTAGTGTTTTAATTTCCGTACATTTCTCCATCAGCCATGCATCTTTTGCTCCTTTTATCTCCTTTAGTACAGTCTTATGCAACGTTTTGTATTCTTTGTCATTTCTACCTTTTAATTTTCTTCGCTCTTCCATCATCTGCAATATTTTATTGGTCATCCATTCTTGCTTCTTTTCTCTTTTTGATTTAAGATATTTCTGCGAAATTGTGGTAATAGATATCTTCATTTCGTTCCACTGTTCTTCTATGCCTCTAGTAGTGTCTTCAACTATTTTCGCAAAATTCTTATTAATCTCTGTTTTTACTGTGTTATCTTACTCTCAACACTGTTTCTCTCTTCTCTCCTTTCTGCTCACAACTAATATTTTTTTGATACTACGCTCCCATATGTCTATTACACTTGTGTGTTGTATACATCTTCATCTTGATTAATAATTTACCTTTAGCTTCATCTGTTAGTTTATAGGCAGTTAACATAGTTTTCTATAGGTTTGTTCCAACACGCAATTTTTGTACCGTCCGGAAACCGTCACGAAACTACTTGTACCGTTTTTAATGCGCATGTTCATCATTTGTATCGTCTGATGACGGTAATTTGGAAACTGATTTTGGAACGATTTTCTGACAACTGGCATAATTTGGTGACAATCTACCTAAATAATTCTGGTTTTTAACCCTAGGTTCGGCTAATAGGACCGATCCTAATAGCTCCAAATCATCCTCACTACTGTAATATCAGAAAATCACTAATTCCTTCGTCGTCAGTCATATTTATAAAGTTATAAATAACGAAAAACAAATATATAAATAAATAACAAGTCTCTCTTAAGCACCTGATAAAACCATTAACCTAACTTCTTCTTTTTTCTGTACAAATTTACAGTTTTAATATAATATCTAAGTTAATCTAGACCCAAGAAATTTAAAGAAGTGGAATAAAATCCTAGTGCGCAAGTCATCCCAACCAGTACATGCATTTGTCAGATTACTGAAATTATCGTCACGAAATCGTCACTGAGCGATCACAATTTTTGTTGGAACGGTTGGAAGGACGATAAAATGAACGATCATATTTTTGTTGGAACGTATTTTGTTTAATGCGCAGGAGCGTAACCGTTACGTGACGGTTTTTCGTTGTGTTGGAACAAAGGTTTGTTCCAACCTATTCCAATCCTATAAGGATTTTTATTTAATTCGGTAGTTGTGCAAATTATCAAACTTATCGTTTTTTTTATGTTTCAGGTATTCGTCTTCAATAAAACCAACTATCAACAAATGAAAGAACGTTTAAAAAAGCAGGGAATTGCGCAAATAAGTAATTTAGAATTAGGCCATTACTTCAGTCCATGGTACGCTGAGCACATGGGCACTATAAAAGTCGCCAGCGGAAACCGTTCAGTCGCTAACTGGACCTTGTACAAACTGAGATACAATTATTCTATTTTTAGTTATCCGTCGTTACTTAAAATTCATGGTAAGTTACTTTTTTAGTTGTAAAGATAAGTTCATAGCCATAACTGTCAACGATTTGGATTCAGATTTTGCACTGAAAATTAATAACTTAAAGTTTAGTACTCTTGAGTCCCAATAAAAATGTTCAAACAAATCGTGTAAAACGATGATGACAAGTGAATAAATGTAGGTATGTAGAAACATACATCTCTTCAAATTGTTTAAAATATTTGCTAACACTTTTCGATTTCGATAGTGTTTTCACAAGACTATGAATATAATGACAACACTTCCATGGGAGGCAAAATACACTTTCATTGGAGAAAAAAAGTAGATATGGCATAAGTTTATCAAGACTAATAAAAGAGAACTGATGGACATAGGACACAGGAAAGCTAAATAAGACGGGATGAGCAGCAACTATGAAGAAATGGGAGATTTACTAAAAAAGCATGACTACTTTAATGCGTACAAAAAGATTAAGGAAGTCACAAATATGAAAAAAAAATCACTACAATCACTACAGAGAATGTAGGAGATATGTGGGAAAAATACATCAAAGATCTGTTTGATGACGAGAGAACAGAATCACAGATGAATATAGTACAAGAAACAATACTTGATATATTAACATCGGAAGTTACAAAAACAATCAATACGACTAAGTCACTAAAAGCCTCAGGTCCAGATAAAATATACGTGAGATGATAAAGCTTATCAATGAAAAAGATCTTCAGACATTAACACTATTATTTAACAAAATATATACCACTGGAATCTTCCCAGAAGACTGGCTTAGATCGACATTTATACCTATACCCAAGAAAAATATGTTAAAGAGAATGTTAAAGAAACCTGAGCGACAATCAATTTAGATTTTGTATGGGGGCTTGGTACAAGGGAGACATTATTTGGTCTCTAAATATTACTACAAAAATGCCGAGATCAGAGAAAAGACGTATTTTTCTGTTTTATCGACTACGAAAATGCGTTTGATTGAGTAAAACACACAGAACTCATCGAAACCCTAACACAACATGGTAAAGACCATAAAACTGTAGCATTTATTAAGAAACTATATTGGGATCAAATGGCGTCGATCAAAATAGACAATCGTCTGACAGCAGAATCGCCAATAAAAAGAGGAGTTCGTCAGGGATGTGTACTTTCTCTTCTCCACTGTTATTTAATGTATACTCCGAAAAGATCTTTCAAAATGCCCTCGAAAATATTGAAAAAGGAATAAAAATCAACGGAAAATACGTAAACAACTTAAGATACACAGACGACACCGTCATTGTTTCGGACAGTTCTGGGGGGTTTACAACGATTGAATGTCATAACCAGAGAGGGAGATAGCTTGGGGCTAAATATAAACACAAATAAAACAAAAGTAATGGCTGTTACACCTGCATCAAATGTCGACATTATTATTCGTATCTATAACAAACATATATAACCACTACAAAGATTCTAGTATCTTGGTTGCTGGATAACAAACGATCTTGACCACGAGATAGAAATACGTGCTCGTATAGAATATGCTAGGTCGGCATTTCTACAAATGAAAAAAATCCTAATAAACTCTAGGTTATCGTTGGATATCCGATACCAATTTGTAAAAATGTTTATTTATTCCATATTGCTATACGGAGTGGAAACATGGACTCTCGGAATTACAAGTATGAGGCGTATAGAAGCCTTTGAGATGTGTGTTTTTCGAAGCATGCTGAAGATCTCTTGGACAGAGCACGTGACCAACAACGAGGTGTTAAGAAGAATGGGTACTGAGAGAGAACTCCTATATATTGTAAAAAAATAGAAAAACGTGTTTTATAATGAAAGGGAAAGTGGAAGGAAGAAGAGGTCCAGGAAGAAGAAAATGCTTCTGGTTCAAGAATATAAGAGACTGGACAGGCATGAACACACATTCGATACTAAGAACAGCTAAAAATAGAGAGCAATTTAGCCAACCTTCAGTAATGGAGAAGGCACCTTCATCATCATCATCATCGATCAGCCCTGAGTTGTCCATTGTTGAACATAGGCCTCCTCTAGACTTTTCCATCTGCTTCTGTTCTGCGCCTCTGCTATCCAATTGGTCACGATTCTTTTGAGGTCGTCGGTCCATCGCATTGGGGGTCTTCCTCGGCTTTGCCTGTCAGCCTGTGGTTTTCACTCAAGCAATTTTTTTGTCCAGTCTTTCATTCTTGCAACATGTTCTGCCCATCTCCATTTTTGCCTTGTAATATGTCGATAATGTCTTCCACTCCGGTTCGTCTACGAACTTCCTCGTTTCTTATTCTATTTCTTAAGCTTATTTCAAGCATGGATCTCTCCATCCTTCGTTGTGTCCTTCTCAATTTTTCGGCTGATGTTTTTGTGAGAGTTAAGGTTTCTGCTCCGTATATGAGGACTGGTAGAACGCACTGGTTAAAAGCTTGTCTTTTTAAATGGATCGGTGGGATCGGGATCGAATGGGGGGGGGGAGGCACCTTAAGAAGAATAAAAAAGCAAGAGGTACGTGGATTAGGATGATATACCTACTAGATAAAAAAGGATCTATTTGTCGACACAGAGCCGATTGAATAAAAAATGTTTTGAAAAAAATAAGTAGATCTCGAAAATACCCAGTTTGGTTTTAGAAATGCTATCAAAACTAGAGAAGTACTTTTTGCACTAAATATCATATTACAAAAATGCCATGATCAAATAAAATGTGTATTTGCATAATTCGTTGACTTTGAAAAGGCATTCGATAAAGTAAAGCTTGTAAAATTAATACAGATACTTAAAAATATAAGAATAAATGACAAATATATTCATTCTATTCATATAATCATTAAAAATCTATACTGTAGTCAATCCGCTATCTTAAAAGTTTGAGACAACTATACTAACTAAATCTGCATACAACATTATTTATTGTTTACTCGGACCAGTACAGAGTCAGTCTTGTATATCTAAAGTTCTTCAAAACAAAAAAAAGTTTCCTTTGTCATATTGTGAACTATAAATTGTTTACAAGATATTGCAATTTCTTTTCTCGTGTGGTCGGGAATAAAAACTTTTATTTTTTTCTTATTAAGGCAAAATTCCTATCACATTTCATGTAAGTGTGACCTGGCTTGCGAAAATTGCGATGTATTTCTTAAATGTGGGTGGCTTTCACTAAATAAATAAATAACATGCAAATATTTTTATTTTTATTCTGGCCCGCACACGAATCGATGTATGCTATTACTTTATTAACAGTGAATGGTAGGGATTTGAAAAAATGCACAAGGCACGACCCTGTCTTCTGTGCACTCCTGTCTAATACGGTTTTATCCCATGTGTACATATGGCCTACTTCAGTGAGCAAATTATGGTCGCAAAAATTGTACGTCTATAGTTCCTTTAGACAGAATACTTTTGAAGTAGTAAGTAATGGCGTGGCCAAAGTTTGCTGTAGATCGAAACATATTACAATAAAACTCTTCGAAGTTTTGTTGCTGTTAATATCCAGTTCTTTCATACTACATGCCTTTTGCGCCTTTCTTCGATGAATTTCTAAAGACGCTGTAGCATTTTGAATACTAATTTCGTTTCTACAGTTCTTTTTATTCACTCAAATTCACATTTGAAAACATTACGATAGTAACTCATCTTAACGACTGGCTTTTTATTTTTGTTACAATATTGTTCATATAATAAGTACATATCTGTAACGCTAAGATCTGGAGAAAGATATTGGCTATTTAACTTATTTTTACGAGAGTAATGGCTTTTGTATTTGTGTAACATATTTTTGAATTACAGTCTCTAGAGTATTTTTGAACTTTCTTTTGTTTCCTTTTTCTCGGGCTCTGTTGTACCAAATCTATCAGTTTTTTTCACATACTGTAGTAAACCGTATATTACTTTTGGAGGAAAAATGCTTTACTTGCTCGCTTATTTATTAACAAATTTTAAGCAAAATTTTGATGTTTTGTAGGTCTTTAATTCCTCCTAGCAACTTCCTCCTTTTTTATGCAGGACGATAAATATGTTGTTTGCAAGTCGTAACTGGGAAGCTCATAAAATTTATCAAATAGAGCTTGTCTGTCTACCTCAGAAATAATTTCATTACACTTAAATATGCATGTACGATCAAAAGGTCTTAATTGGTCACTCGGATGGATGACATTCTTGTCTCTTAAATAGTGCTTGCCTTCGGTTCTTAGTCTTAGCTTTTTTTCTCATTTCTTCTTCCGTTTCCCTTTCATAAGAATCTAACTCGGATTCATAGGCATTTAGGAAAATAATTGGAACAACCATAAAATTAAAGCTGAGATTATTCATTTTGGTCTTACTCCCTTTGCTACCACTAGGCATCTCCAAAAATACAAATAAATATATTTCAAATAGGTAAAGAAATATATTTCAGTTTATACACACAGTTATTACACACGTACATCAACAATTCTGCGCACAAAATTCATGTAAACGCACAACTTCAATGAAAAACGCACTAGCCGCAGCGAGTACTTTGAATAATCTATTAGAAAATGTTGAGTGCAAAAACGATACAAGTGATTTTATACCGGTTTTGCTCCAACTATTCACTAACTGTTAAGTAGGTTTATCTACCAATTAATAGATGACACCAGAAATAACTAAACATGCTTATATCGTTTTTGCTCTGGAAGAATACAAACTCTAGTATTATTTTCTTCACTTAACTTAAAAAATATTATATCTTTTTTGCACTAATCCCATCAGTTTTTCTTGTTGTTGGAATATCCACTGTACACAAGAAATATAATATGGGGCAAGAACGCTGCCCTGCGGGACGCCTGAATATATTGGATATATTTCAATGTCGTCGGTTCCTGCTTTTACCTTGAAGTGTCTATTTTCCAGATAGGATTATTTAGTTTTGTAGTAATGCCGTGTGCCAAACCTTATCGAATACCCAAGATATGGCAATAAAAGCAGCTGAGCAATATCTTTTGTTTAAATCTTTGTTTATTTGGTTAACCAATCGATACACTTGTTTTATAGTTTTGTGCTTATTGAAACCAAATGGATGTTCTAGAATTATTTTATCTGTCAGTTATCATTTTTAACCTTTTCACGTACACCTTCTCAAAGACTTTGCTGAACACAAGCAAAAGACTTATAGGCCGGTATAAAGATACATTTTTGGTTTTTTTTTCGGGTTTAAGGATTATTTGGATTTGCGCCCCCTTTCCAGGTTGCTAGAAAAGTAGTTTAATCGTATTGCATTGAATATAAAATTTAGTAGTTTTATGAACTTATATGAGACTTCTTTTAGAATCTTTCCCACCTTGGGTTCTTTTCAGAACCCAAAGATTAGGTCAAAACCGGTGGCTTTTTTATATTGATTTCTTTTATTATTGTTTGTTTTACTTGGTTTACTGTTAATTTCATGTGAGGCAGATCTATTTAAAACGATGCTGTTAGGGTACTAATTTGGTTAATTATGTTTTTCCTCTGTAGAGAATGTAGAAGGATATGGCATAAATATATTTAGAATGTGCTTGCCATATAGATTACCTTTGTCTTCATCGTTCCTAGCCAAGTTATTGGCATAATATTTAATGGGTGGTTTATGTTGTTGCAAAGAAGGTGTGTCAGTCACAATCTCGTGAAAATTGTGGAATTTTGTTTGTTTTTTATCGATTCCTTATATTATTTAATCAGTCAAGATATGTACAAAGTACACTCAGTACAAAAATGGAATACTTACAAAAAGCTAGGGAGAAAATTTATGTAAAGAGATAGCCCATCCTCTTGAAGTAAAGAGATAATGGGCGACTAATAATCGAAAGACGTCGAAAATTTCTTTTTCTCTTGTCTTACCAAAGAAAATATTATACCTTATTAATTATGTTTACTATTTTAGGGGATCCAAGGCTACTCGGCAGATTAAACTCACTATTGGGCAACGAAGCCATCCTAGAAATGCAACTGAAGACTTTAGCACCTGCATTCAAAGACCCTTTGAAGAGACAATGGTTCGATGAAGTATTAGACAATTTCGTAAAATTGTGGGAGAGTAATTTGTAGTATTGGTGATCTTCCACATAATAAATGCCCATTCAAACATTATTGTTCCAGCGCAAATTAAGAGGAGTTAGTTATTCTACTCTTTAATGAAATATGACTTTTAAGAATGTGATTAAAACAAGTCATTCCTGGAACGACTGGACACCCTTCAATTGTAACAAGACAATTATTATACGAAACTGTCAGATTACATATAGGTAGGTATCTGGTATTTATCTGTGATCATTATGGACGACTATTTAATAATTTATCAAGAAGTATGTACAAAGATTCCCTACTCAATTTTAATAAATAATAATTTATTACTTGTTTTATTTTCTGAATCGTATCCCCCATATTATATTCCTTTTCTTACCTACAGACCTAAAAGTATAAATTTTTCTAAATTTGTAAAATGATCAATATTGTACATTATATGTCTTATTAAACTATTAGATATAACACACTTTGAAACACAGGTATAGTATATGTACGACGTACTTACTGTGAACATCTATATTCGAGCGATACTACCTATGAAATATACATCGATGAAAATGATTATGAAAAAGAACCAGATATTATGTTGCAAGAAAGTGAAGCTGCTAAACGACAATAGCACATTATAAATCTCCTGTTATAAATGCATTGACATCCGAAGTGGTAAAAAATATGTAGAAGGCTGATCTAAAAGCCGTACAGTACTTATGTAAACTCGTATTGACAACCTGAAGAAGGTGATCATACACTTCAGCAAATGTGCATTGAATTAATAGAAACTATAATATTAATGAACTTTATTCACACACACGTTACAGGTCATGGTACAAAGAATAACCGGCATGATATTGCGCAGGCCACTATCTACTGATCCCCTACTGTCGACGTAGTAATGAGAGTGGTCGTCATTGTAATACATCTGTTTATAATGGGAATTTTATCAATGTTTTAACGACCATCTTTGGTAAGCTTGTAGAAGATTTTATAGTGTTTTTATGAGAGTTAAGTTAATTTGTAGACATTTTAGTGAAAAAGAATGATTATTAAGAATATTTTGAACTCTTTATGCAAGTTTTTTTATTGGTAGTGGCACAGCCACCTTTACTTCCAAGCCATGAAGTAAAAAAGGCAACACCGCATTCTATGACGTCGGTAGTCCGATAATCAGCTGTAAGGTCTATCTAATTAAACGAATTTGAATTTTAGGAAACTGATATTTTGAAAACTTCAATTCATTACAGAAATATTTTTAGGGAAATTAAATTAATAAAACCTTATATTTACCTAATAAATATATATAAAGTTTTATTATTATTTAGGTTATATTATCAATAAAATATCTAATCACTAGAGTAAAATTTATTGCACTTAAAATACAGTGTCAAACAGTTAATCTTACAATCAAATGCAGTCAAAAATCTCTAGAAATTTTAAATATTAAGTACTTAAGCATATAAATAACACAATACATTAACACGACATTTAAAAAGATTATTAAAAATACAAAAGACATAAAATTTGTTCAGTAAAAACTTAGTGTAACTATTATGATTAAAAAATTCATCCTAAGAAATCAGACACAATATAAATATGGTTCTAAATTAATCTAATTGAAAATTAAATATTTTACTATTTACTTATAATTTTTGTTGAATTTTCATACTTAGGTATACGAAAGTAGCAATTTTAAATATGAATAGGTTTTTTGTCATATAGACCAAGTTAAGAGAGGTATACATGAAAAATGTGTTGAATGTAACATACCATTTATAACTTGTATATCGATTTAAAATAGCCTATATTCTCAAAAGATTTTTGAATGTAATACTCAAATTTGTTATCACTTATCTAAAAAGCAGATCTAAATGAGAAAGTAAGTTCTCTAATTGTGACCATCTTGTTAATTTACTATATTGTAAAATCCATTTCAAATCATTACTACTTAATCTATTCTTACCTACATTGACGATTACACTAAAATTACTGCTAACTATTACACTATGTATTACACAAATATTATCACACTTGTGTCCCAACTGATTAATGTTTAATACATAGAAATATACACAGTCACTTGTAATTTTACTTGTCCAGTTTTTCAATGGGATATTATTGTCTAAGTCTAATTGTCATAATTATGTTATCTCTTGTTCCCTCTTCTTATGCAAAAAGTTTCTTCTGTCTTCGGGATTCCTTCTTTCTTTAGTACGATGAACAGTTACATATGATGGTACTTCAGGAAATATATTAGGAACTGCATTGCCTTTTAATTTGGGAAATATTAACTTTTCAATGTGTACATTTCCATCTTTATCTTCTCATTGTTCAGTCCGCTGAATATCATCTTCATGAAAATGTTTGGCACATACTACGGAAGATTTGGTAATTGTATAGCCTTCTCTATGAATAGAGCATAACCCAGTATACCTTCTTTGGGGATATTTGGGAAACTAAAACGTACTTTCTGCCTGTTTCGTTTTTAAAGTACTGGCATAATTGGTTTTGCAACCAGGTACACAACAATGCCAGAGCATCTGTAACAAAAAACAAAAGTATTATATTATTGTTGTTTTTAGTTTACATATTTTGTAACAAGAAGCAAAAGTATTATTATTTTCAGTTTGTTTTGTAGGTTATATTTATACTTGCCTTTTAAATTGTCGTTAAGAATCTTCTAAAAGTTCTAAATTTAATGAAATTTCACTTATATTAATATTTTCTAATTGATTTAAACACAATTTACAAATAAAACATTCGAATAAAGTTAAAAAAACACTAAATTCAACAAACTTTACAAGTCTTCCTATATGAAATGTTAAACAAAACAAACCACGGTCGGACTACCACGCGTTGTTGCCAAATTTCTACTTCATGGCTTGGAAGTAAAGGTGGCTGTGGTAGTGGCTTTGTCGGTATACCTACTTTAGCGGACAACATTGTGATCTTTTAGAAGTTGTAAATAAGGTATGTTTAATTATTATTGAGTCAGTACTTAATACTCGACCATACTTATACCACTCTTGTATTTTTTAGAGTGGGTGTTGTTAGGAATAGTTTATAAGCTAAATATAAAATGCGTTGTGCAGTAGCTAGTTGTTTAATTGATAATCAGACAAGAGGTGCCGATAAATCTATTAGGTTTTATAATTTTCCCAAGTACTCGGTAGTGAAAAAACTGTGGGGTACTGCTTGTTGCTGTGAAGACAAATTTAATAGTAAAATCTCAAGGATTTGTTCCAAACACTTTAAGCCGGAAGACTTTAAAAGGAATTTACAGCTTGAATTGCTACAATATGAATAAAAAAAGGACCCAAACTGAAGGGTGATGTGGTTCCTTCTCTTCATCTGCCACAATAAAAATTGAAATATTCTAATTACAACTATTCTTTGGAGCTAATATATATATACATTCGGTTTTATAACGTCTTACGACGTTGTCCGACTCCCAACCGCCACTGTATTCGGTCTTGAGTTAGGTCTTCGTCCAGATTTCGAGCGCTAATCGCTTTCCTAACTCCCAGGTTCCAGCTCTGTGGTGGTCTTCCTCGTTTCCTCTTCTCTGGGGGTTGCCACATCATCGTTTTTTTAGGCAATCTTTCGTCCCCCATTCGGCTCACATGTCCATACCATATGAGCTGTTTTCTCTCAATATCCTCAACTATAGTGCCCTCTATACCCATTTGTTGTTTTATCACTTCATTCCGTATATAATCCGTAAATATAGACGGATCTAAACAAAGACGAAAACGGCTACGAAAAAGGACCATGATGATAGGTACATGGAATGTACAAGGAATAAGGGTTAAAACTGAAGAGATCATCAAAGAAGTAAAACAACTTGGCCTCAACATAGTGACCCTCACTGAAACAAAGAAGAAGGGCGTTGGATCAGTAATGATAGGAGCTAATAACCAATATAAATATTATTTTCTTTTTGGCTAAACTTAATTCCGTTGTTATTTTTAGGAATAATTTCTTACACTTAATAAACAAACAATTCCTTAAAAAATTTATTTGAGATATAAAAACTAAACTCAATATAAAATACAACCTACGTACGTACAACCTAAATCAAGATGTACTCGACGTGACCATCCCGGATCTAAACATCAATTAAAGTCAGGGAAAATTATTTACAAAGACTAATTGACTTTACGAAGAAAGTTGAATGTGACTACAAAATCAAACATCTGTTCTTCCGATCTAGAATGTATTTCAGAATTAAGTAATTAAACCTAAAAATTAAAGAAGATATAAGAAATAAAAAAAAATAATAAAAAATGTAACTTAAAACCTTGTATTTGATCTATTTTCCTATTTTAGTGCAGATAATTAATGATCAATTATTTTCTTCCGTTTACGTGCACTTAGACGAAGGCTTTTTTTCCTTCTCGGCACTGACGCCAAACAAAACAATATAATCAAAAGCGAGCTCCTAAAATTTACGAAGATTACCTTTATAGGATTAAAAAGCGAAAAACACAAATTTATTTTACAGATCTTTTTTTCACTATATTATTTATTATTTTTTCAATCAAAATAATAAAAGACCTATATTTCAATACATCCGAAATAGTTCAATAGAAACTCTATTAATCTATTAAAATGACTTTTAATTGCCAATTAAAAATTAATTGCGACCCGATTGCTAACGTTCTTACGGGGAATATTTAAAATCACTCTCATTGTGACGTAATGCGCGAACTCGTCCCAATTTCGCGCTCGGGAGTATCATACCTGTTATTCTTTGTCCCACAGTTACAGATAGTTGAATTATTTCGCTATCTTTTTTGGGCTCGCTTTTCAGCACAGCACATACCACATGTCGACATAACTTGATGCAATATTAACTAGTTAACTACGTCAAAATACGGCGATACCATCGAGCAAAAAGACAATAGAGGGAATGTAAAGGTAGTGGGGGCAAACATATTGTTAGACAGGAAGTGCGATCTTTAGAAGCCACATTAAACAAGGAAAGAGAGTCTCTCTCCTTGTTTGACATCAAATTTAGTTGGGTTATGTTATTGTTTGTCCCAAATGTCACATGAAATCTTATTTATATTGAAGTTTTTTAACAATTGTTTCGCATTTTAGACTTTTATCATTAATAATTAATTAAAACTTTCTCGTCTAAGACACATTCTGAAAAATATTATATAGCTACTGTTGATAAGTGTCGGAAAATTTAAATTTCGCGCATTCGCATTTCCGGATATGTCCGCCATCAGAGGCCACTTTTTTGGTCTCCTTTTCACAAGGATTAGATTCCCTCTTTTGTCTTATTGCTCGATGGGCGATACTCACTTCTGGAACATCATACAACACAG